GCGGGCTTTACCGCGAGGGGCCTTCCCTTCGCGTTTAGTTCTCCCCTTAACAGCTCAGATGTGAGTGCAAATCCCGGTGCCGGTGGGAGACACGTGTGAGGAGTGTTTCCTGAAACAACGTGTCTCACCGCGGGGCCTGGAGCCAGCTCGGCCGGAGAGGGTCCAGGTGGGATTTGCACCCAACGCGCGGCTCTGTCACTGCAGAGCCCTCCCTGGGCGTGAACTTCCCGGCTGTGACGGTGGGACGAGGCTGGCTGCGGAAGAAGGGAGTAGGATGGATCGCTGCGAAGTCTGCTGTTCTAGAAACGGCCCCAGGTAGCATAGGAGAGGCAGACACCATATACTGTGAGGGGAAGAAGACGCCGCCATGGCGAACCCCCAGTTCAGGAACCCCAAGGTCAGGAGGGGAATGCGGCTGGGGAGGGAGCACGGGGGGGCCTTCAGCCGTATTTGTGACGACTTCTTTCATCTGCCGTGGATCTGGGGGTGTGACATGTGCATTTTTGGGTTTGAGAGACAGTAAACATTCCACCTGAGGGAGCTTCAGGTGCGGCTTGATCCAGCAGTTGCCATGGTATTGCCAGGACCTGGTCGCTCTTCCTGTCTCGGGTCTCCCCCGGGGATTGGCTTAATTCTGTTCATCCACCCGGGGCTTGGGCAAACCCAGAGGGAAGAGTTTTTGTCAAATATTTCAAACGCGAATCCCACGCCGCGTTATCGTGGGCCAGCGCCGGGTCTCCGAGTGGCCGGGCCTGGGTCAAGGACGCCTTCCTGGAAATGAGAACGGAATCAGGGCCCGGAATATGGAGCGAGGGAGGAGGTGGTTCCCCGAGGAAAAGTGGGGTGCGGTGACCGGCAGACGGATGGTTGTGGGTGGCTGAGTGAGCATGCACGTCCACAGGGACCCCCAGGGGCTGCTGGTCTCGGGGCCCACGGTCACTGCTGACCACCAGGCCTCTCTCTGTACTGTCTCTGAGCCCTGGGTTACGCCTCCAGACTTTGGGGCTTTGGTTTGGCTCCAAATATGGTCAATGATTATAGGGCAGGCTGAATTCTATTTTCTTAGGAGTTGGTTCCTTCTCCCTCTCCCCTATTTTACCGTGGGAACCGCGGCCCAGAGGTGAGGGAGTCCGACCCCGAGGCCTCCTCCACGCGGGCCCCCAGAGGAGGACCTTGGGCGGGAAATCGCAGCCGGCGTGAAAGGTGGATTTATCCTGTCGGAGTTAATTGTAATCTTTATTTGCTCCCGAGTGATTCATTCTCATCGTTCTTATTATAGCTGAGAAAATTAATTTTTATTCCGCCATAAAGGTGGCGGCAATCATCTGGGTGCGGGGAGGGGGGCCGCCGTAATGAGATTTGCCAGGGGGCTTTGAAACCGTCCGCTTCCATGAGCCCGGAGCCGCCCGGCTGCGCTGGAGGGACAGGGGCGTTTGCTCTGCGATGCGTTCGGATCCATTCCCGCCTGTAAGGACCGGGGGCTCCGGGGGCGGGAGGCCGAGCAGATCCCCGTGCCGTTGACCGACTTCAGTGGAAACAAATCCACGGGAAGGAACCCCGAGCCCGCCCACTCGAGCACCCTGTTCCCGGGCTGTGGGGGGGCCGGGGACTCTGGGTGGGCACCGTCCCCTCGTAGGAGAAGCACTCACCTCCTGGTATTGGGGGTGGGAGTGCTGGCAACAGCAAATGCCTCATAATAAGAACCAGCCCCGGCCGGTGTGGCTCAGTGGGTAGAGCGTCGGCCTGCGGACTGAAGGGTCCCAGGTTCGATTCCCGGTCCAGGGCACAGGCTCCATCCCCAGTGGGGGGCGTGCAGGAGGCAGCTGCTCCATGGTTCTCTCTCATCACTGATTTCCTCTCTCTCTCCCTCCCTCCCTTCCTCCCTGAAATCAATGAAAATATATTTCCTTTCTTCCTTCCTTTTTTTGTAATTCTCACCCAGGGATATTTTTCCCCTTGATTTTTAGAGAGTGAAAGGAGGGGAGGGAGGGAGAGAAAGAGACATCGACGTGAGAGAGTCTTGGTTGCCTCTTTCATGCAGGATAGAACTTGCAACCCAGATTTTCTGCTGAAAAGGCTCCCACCCTCCTCATTGACCTGTTTTCCGTAAAGCCGGTGTGTGCGAGCTCAGAACGGAGCGCACGCTGACATCCCGTCGCCATGGCAACCCAGGTGGTAAACACCAGCCGATGCTGCGGGAGCGGCGGCGGGGATGAGGGATGAGGGATGAGGGATGAGGGATGAGGGATGAGGGATGAGGGATGAGGGACTAAACTCTCTGATAAGAAAAATGGATGCTCATTTGGGAACCAGTATTTTCCAGTAAAGTCTACATTAATAAAACCAAATTTCTGATCTCATGCATCATTACGTATTTTCTCATATCCCACAACTGGTCCACTTCAGTTTATGTCCGTTCTATATCAATTCTAGAGCTTTCCGGTTAAAACATTCCCTATTGCTCTGTGAAAATTCATGCAAGAGTAACTCTTTGGCCCGAACCCGAACCCACAACACGCTGCTCTGGGACCAGGCTCCCCCCCGCTCGGGTCTGGGGAGCTTGGAGGAAGCAGGGCCCTGGGCAGGGCCTCGGGGACCCCTGGCCGGCGGGTGGGTGAGCAGGTGACGGGCTGGCTGTGTCCATGGGCACAGTTCCTAAGGGACACCTCAGTCCCGAATCTCTCTGTCACCACGCGGCTGGACCTGTCCCCGTTCGGGGGGCTTTTCCGGGTCCTCTGCCCCCCGTGGTCCCTGAGCGGGAAGGACGAACAGTTTCCATCAGAGCCGCCCCCTCCTCCCCCCAGTGAGTGCAGCTGAGCGAAGAGAAGAAAAGCCCTTTTCATAAAACACGCCTCAGGGAACGGAGTGATTCAGGCGACAGTCTTCGCCCCCTCCCCCACTTGGCGATTTCTCGGGGTGCCAAGGGGAGGGGACAGGCTCCCAGCACGGGAGGGATTGGAGGGTTGTGGGGGGTGGAGGGGGGCAGCCTGGAGCTCAGGACGCCCTGTGGTCAGCCGCCAGCCATCGCCTGGAAGCCCAGCTGTGTCTCGGGTCCTGGGGTTGGGGTGGGGTGGAGGATGTGGTGTCTCCTGCATTCGGGGTGCACAGGGAAGCTGGTGGGTGCTTCCGGCCCCTGCTGCCTGGGTGCTCTCTGCCCCGGGGGAGGCCGGGGGGGGCAGGGACGCCCGTTCTCACGGAGGGCCCCCCAGGCGGGGCTTCTTTTGCCAACAAAGAATCCGGGCCAATGACGTCATTGTACTGGAACTAACTTTCTTAAATATATTTTTATTGATTTCAGAGGGACAGGGGGAGAGAGAGAGAAACATCAGTGATGAGA